GGGGAGGAGAAAGGAAGGAAGGAAATGGCTCTTTTGAGAAAAGACCTTTAAAATCAGCTTTTGCTGGCTGATGAAGACGGATTTGTTATTTCCTTCACTCTTTTTTCTCTCCCTTTCTACTTTGTCCCACTGCACAGGATGTCCTCCATTTCCTAACTCAGTCTCCTCTCCTCTATCACAACACATCTCCAGCTCTCTCCTAGATCAAGGCTTATAAATATGTAGACTTCACTGTAAGAGAGAAATGAAGGCAAAACACATCGAGCAGTGTGACAGGGTCATCAGCAAGGGAGTGGCTGAACTATAAATAGAAAGCAGACACAGCCAACAGTCCACAGATTAAAGTAGATTAGTGAGGCTTATCTTAAGGTAACCGCTAAGGATGAAGTCAGGCATGTAGCTAGGTACTAAAGGCCAATCAGAAGACAGAACACAGAGGGACAGGTAAAAGGCCACCAGGCCCTCAGAAAGCTAGTTCCAAGGTGTGCTCTATGACAACACCCTTCTAAAATATCTCTAGTTTTTCCATAGAGTCTAATGAAAAAGGAAGGACTCTTTAAGGGATTGGGAATTAAGGAACTGCCATTACCCTCACCTCCAAAGGACTGACGGGCAACAAAGCTGTTGCCCTACAGCAGTTTGGAGGATGGAGATAAGCCCAGGTTCGAAGTCTCATAGGCCTCCAACAAAGAAGTGCTTGTCTGAGAAAAAGAAGGGGTGACAAGAAAGCGCCATTCAAAACATACAAGTTGGGAGGAGGAGGGAAACTCCAGTCCTTGCACACCATCCAGAAGTTTTCAGCTCCTGAATCCCTGTAGCTCCATGGTGCCTTTCATGTCTTCTGACTCCAGTTTTACCTTTTGGGGTCCTGGCCCCAAATGAAAACTGCCATCGACACTTTTGAATAGTGTGGGTTCTGCCTGCTGTTCAGGCAGGTTCTGGGAGTTAAGTACCTTCCACAGTGCCAAGACTAAGGCAAAGAAATAAGCTTTCTCTGGCATAGGGATAGAAACAAATATTCAATCTCCCAAAGAACAATCAAATGGTGACTGAATAAGTTTCACAGCACAATAACCATTATACCTAGTATATGAAATACAGTATGTAAGAAACAGGCTTTGTGGCTATTCTATGGAAAGCATCTAGAGATTTAAGTTCAGGGCTTCTCACCTATACAAGACTGCCACCTAATGGCTACAGAGAGCAACTGTACTCACAAATGACTGGACATGGGACGGCGGGAGATAGTCTGGGATGATGACCAAGGCAGAATTTACTGCTTATTTCCAACCTTTCTCAACATCACCTTGGCCAAGACCATGGGATGTCTACACTGATTGACCATGGCTATGAGAGGTCTACACCAACACTCCATGAGATGGAGAGCTACATGGACTATTACAAGGGTCACCTTAGGAGTACAATTCACCATAGTTGAGGTTTTTATATAATTAAAACTTTAAACTGTCATAGAACAGTTTACCACAACCACTCAGCTCTGAAAAAAATGGAGCTAGCAATTCAGAACAGCACATTTAAATTATTTTCCAACCTAGCTACATAGCATCCCCATCTTTTCTAAACACTAACTTCCACTTTGCGCCTTGTAAACCTCACTTGGGCTCCTCTCGGCACCAAGCACCTCAAGCTGCATTTTAACAAGATCCCTGCAAGTCAGCATGAGCGACTTGCAATTTCACTGAGCCCTTGACACCCAGGGCTGCTGCAGATCAGTCTATCAGGTTTCCCAGACCCCCTTCATCCCTATTTAGAACTTAAAACAGTCAGTGCCAAGAGCTAAAAATGCTCAGGAAACCCAGTAAAGCAGACTTCAATAGCAAATAAATGTTTGCTCTTACCTTTTGTGAATTTCATATAATGAACCCGGTTTTTGGAGATTCTAGATTTTTCCTCAAGGCTAAAAGATTTCTTTTCCTTGTTGTCCGAGGAGTCTTTAAAAAAAGAGAAAACTATTAAACACCATGTAACCCATTCTCTTTCTATGAAAGGATGTTATTTAAATAAGATTTTTAGGTGTATTATTATTTATTACTGAACTACCCAAAGGATTTTTTTTTTAAAACTGTAGATCAGGCAAGTTTCTCTTCAGTCTATAAAAATCCTTAAGGAAGAGAAATGAAAACATGTCTTCATACCAAAATCTATATGGGAAGATTCATGACCCTTATTCATAGCAGTATAATACTGAGGTAATCCAAAAGCCTTTCAATAACTGAATGAATAGCTGAGCTCACTCTGGCACAGCCTGATACTGGAATATCATTCTATCATTTGCAATAAAGAGGACCAAGTTATAGACCCATATAACAATGCGGAAGAACCGCGGGGCAAGCACTTAATGAAAAAGGCCAGTCTGCAAAGTAAGATGCAATAAATCCATCTCCATAGCATTCTGGGTATGATGTCACTGATGGAGAGCTTACAGATGGTGTCCAGGGGGCTGAGATGAAAGTGAGATGCCAGGAGCTGGAGGGGTGGAAGGTAGGTGTGAACACAGAAAGTCAACATGGGGCAGTGTTTTGATAATGATGGAATAATTAATTCTATATCTTGATTGCGTGATGACTAACTACATAAATGTATGCCCGAGTAAGTGAAAGAGAAAATATTTACAAAAAGCAAGCTCCCTAGTAAAACTTTACTCAAACATTGGTTTGACACTAGAACCTTAAATGGGAATAAGCATTACTTAGTATCCTCGGGAAAGGAATTCTCGCAACAGATGTTAATGTTAATGTTATTATGTCTCATAATTATTTAAAAAAAGAAAATGAGAATGTAAAAGATGTTAAAAGGATATGGGAGTGGAGATATTTTCCAAAATAGAAAAAATGAGAAAGCCTAGGCAATTGATGAAGGTCTGTGTAGGTTTGTTATGATATATAAAGGAAGCAACAAAAATAATATACACATAATCTTAAAATTTCTAAGGTCACAGTTTAGTCAACTAGTTTAAGGAACAAAATACAGTGTCTCACTGAACAGAGCTCACTGACTGACCAAGGTGGCTGCGAGTGAGCTCCAGGAATCCTCTGTCTCTGCTCCCAGTGTGAGGTTGGAGTCCCACACTTGGCTTTTTCACATGAATGTTAGGGATCTGGACTCAGTTCCTTGTGTGTTTGACAGGCACTTTATCTGCTGAGCCATCTCTCTAGTGCCTATCCCCTGCCCTTTTTAGTTCGTTTGTTTTATTTTTTTGAGTCAAGGTTTCATGTAATGTAGGCTGACCATGAACTCACACTACTTGAGGATAGCACTGAACTATTTATTGATCCTCCTACCTCTACCTCCAAGTGCTGAGGTGGTAGGCATGCACCACCACTCCCAGGTATGGGAGATAAGGTAAATATTAAAAATGAAAATTTACAGACTATACTAAGTTTTGTATCCCACAAGACAGCAACACAAAAAGTCTGCTTTGTTAGAAGGCAAACAGTGTGAATTTGCTAAGTGATCTTATAGCAGAAAGTGGTACTAGGTCACTGTACCATCTACTATTGAGCTTTAATGCAAGTTACATGTGATTATGATTTTTAAAAATTCACCTAGAGGAAGACACTATATTTACAAAAGATGGCATGGCAGGAAAATATCCTGTTAGCTCTCCAGGTCTGTCCCAGGGAAAGGCTTCCCTAAAAGAAATCTTTGGAAGGCTTCATACGGGTTTCTCTAACTGCATAATCACTGCAGCAGCCCCTTCTACTGAACAGGACAGGGAGCTTATATACAAGTTAGTAACTGCAGCTTCCACATTATTTAAAGTACTCCCAAGTTTTAAGCAGTAAGGGCAAAATAAGACTACACGGATTAATCCTGAAGAAGAGGGCAGCCATGAAGAAGAGCACTACCTCGTGAAATCTCACAGCCTTTGGGACAAACGCAGAGCCCACTGGCTCCTTCAGAACAGCCCACTGCCTGCACCTCCTTGAACACCCCAGGAAGGACTACTTTAGTGACTCTGCCCAGCCTCGCCATCAAAGCCAAACAAAGGAGGTTGTCCTGAGATGGGGTTCCCAACGCTACTGAAATGGCACCTCTCACTTGGAAACAGTGTGCATGGTACCATCAGACTGGAGAGATGGAACTTTCCAGATAGGCCCTGCATATCTCAAAAATAAAGCACTCAAACCATCTGCTTTCTCTTCTCCCTATCCATACAAGTGAACCAGACCAGGCTGACCTAGATCGCAGAGATCCACCTGCATCTGCCTCCTGAGTGCTGGAATTAAAGACATGTGTCACCATGCCTGGCTCAGAGATCCCTTCAGAATCTTAGAGCAGATCAGTTCTTGGGATACTGTGACCTGAAAAGTTACAAGCATTCTCTGAGGCACTAAGCACTAAGTGAAAAAGCAACGAAACCAAACCCAGTGCAAAGATGGTTCTCCCTGCTTAAGAACAGGGTGTGGACACCTCTGAGGAATGAATCCCAGGTTCAAGGGTTTCCCTTTCCACAAGTATGCTGATGGCAAAGGCATTTCAAGTTCAAGTGATGCCCTATCATGACACTGAACCTGCTTAGGAGAAATGACTGCCACTCACTCACCAGATAAAGTGGAAGTTAATTCCTGATGGTCAAATTGCTGTATTGTTAGACTTTAGCTAACCTCCATTTCAGTCTTTATGTAATATTAATTACACATGCTCTATATAAGTCTGCCAGATTCATGTGATTTTCACATTTTTTAAATTTTGATATATGCCACAGTATATACGCACACTTAAGATCTGTACAGTTAGTGAAATATGGAATTATAAAGTGAACTCCTCTATCACTACTTCCAGGGTTAGGACATGGGCACTGTCAGTATCTAGAAGCATGTTATGTGCCCCCTTCTCAACAGGCCATGCTGTTTCCTCCTAGAAAAGCACATTCTTTCCTGTAGGGGAACACAGCTCTCTGTGCACTGCAGGATGCTTGGCTGCATTTCTGCCATTACTACTTCACCAGTAAAATGCCCACATTTGTGATGATGAAAACTATCTCCAGGACTAGCAAGATAGCACAGTGGGTGGAGGCACTTACAGCCAAGCCTGACAACCTGAATTCAATCCCTGGGACTTACATGGTAGACCTCCACATGTGCACCATGACACACATGCACTCACACACATACACACACAAATGAATAAATTTAATAGAAAAACGAAAATTGCCTCCAGACATTGACAAATATAAACCCGTATGTTTCTCAGGACCCCTTCTCAATCCCAGGTTCTCTGTCCTCCCTAAGTACCACTACTGTGACATTTACAGTGAAATACTCATTTTCTTAAAATTATTTTGCTACTAAAGTATGGACTTCAACATCAGAGTTCTGCCTGCTCTTTGTAGTTTATGTGAATGAATCATACTGGATATCTCTTTGCATTCATCTTCTTTCAATCAGTGTTAATTTCTGCACCAGGGACAAAATACACAGCTTGTGGATCAAACCCAGTTTGTTACTTGTATTTGTAAATAAAGTTTTATAGGAACACAACTACATCTGTTTGCTTACATACTGCCTTACTATAGTTTTCACTCTCTGATAACCAAGTTGAGCAGTTTTGAAACCCTATGTACATAACATATTTCTATCCCACCTTTGCAGAAAATATTCACCAACCCCTGTTCTCCACTCTGGCATGTGACTATTGCGTGTCTTTACACTTAAAAGGCAGTGGTGCTCTTATGCTTTCTACTGTTCAGGAGCATTTGGGTTAACGCTATCTTAGGGACACTGTTAATGCCATCTCATTTGTTTGTCTCCTGGAACACCTAAGCACAGGTATCTGCTGCACAAGAGTAGCAAAGCTGGTCAAAGGCTATGCATATCACTGCCTTATGTAAATAATTCCACATGAAGACAAGATGGTCTATTAACACGCTCCACATGCTCAGAACCTGACATCACTCTAATTGCAATGAGTACTCAGTGGTTTCACCCTGTGGTTTTTATCTTGCATATTCCTGGTGACTAATGTGGCAATATGTAATCATTCACCCTGCGTAGACTCTTGTAAAATGTCTGATAAAGGCCTGTGGTTGAGTTGGGCACAGTGGCATATGCCGACAGTCCAGCTACTTCAGAAACTGATGCATGGATCACCTGAGCCCACAAGTTCCAGTGGAGAAAGCACATAAAACCTCAGTAACTGAGCCACATACATGAACTGAACAATCAAACTGTGCTAGGAAGAATCAACACAGAAAAAGGTTTCCCATGGAGCCTCTGCCAGCTGCTATGTTCCCATTTGATTTTCTTTTTTTTTTTTTCCATTTTATATTCTTTTTTGTATTAAAAAAAAAAAAATCCTTTCTTTCATAGTAAAGCATCCCTGTAATGGTGACTACCTATCTGAGGTATACACCAATGAATGAATCTTGCCATTCTCAAACTATGAATGAGGAAAAAGTGTTTCCTGATGACCAAAGGCTCATTCAATGACAGCACCATTAAAATATAAACAGAACTGAGTATTGTGGTTGCTTCAATCAACCAGCTTTTGGATATATGAGGCTTACAGTAGAGGGTAATTCTGAGGGACAGCAATGCTAACAGTTCCCTACCTGTTTTTTCCTGACCATGGCAAGTGTTTAGTGCTGCGAGAAGCTGATTAAAGTCATCCTGATGAGCAATCCAGTTGTCCTAGAAACACAAAAAGCGAATGAGAGGCAAGCCCACAGCTTACTATACTGTTGACGTAAGACACAGTTACAATGGAAGAAATCTGATTAATATGAAGTTGTAAATGCTTCATTAAAATATTATTTGAGAAGTCCAAACAGGGTCACATTCCAAAAGCAAAATCTTCAGATCAATAAAGTAATTCACAAACCACCCCCGCCCCAAAATTATTTCATAAATTTAAATGGATTCAAGAAATAATATAAACTTGAAATGCGATCTATCCAAATCCACACTAAAAGGGGACAAGCCCAGTGGTGGAGTGCTAGCCTGTCCATGCAAAGTCCCACCCAGTGGTGGAGTGCCTGCTTAGCCCATCTGTGCAAACCCAGGTTTGGTCCCCAGCATAACAAAGTTAAAAAAAAAAATTTAAAAGAGGCTTCTTGGAAGCTTCAAACCTTGATTTCAAATGGGGGTGATTCCTCAATGGTTAAAATAGAGCAGAAAAACAAACAAATAAAATCAACAGGCAACTTGTGTGCTAAACATTAAACTAAAGCAACAGAAAACCACTACTACGTAGTTGGAAGGAGAAGAGCAGTGGGGAACAGTGCTCTCTTCTTCATTCAACAGAACTTGGAATATTTTGCTGAATTCTGACCACTTGTATTAAGACTCAATTTTTCAGAACTCTGTGGAAGGGGACCTGAAACCCCCTGAATCAGTGAGTACCCATATGTAAGGTGTTCATTGATAATGACCTCCAAAACAATACAAACCAGTGGGAAGCAGGGTTTTAAGGCAGGAATTTACCTTACATGCCTTTTCTTTTTCTTTCTTTCTTTCTTTCTTTCTTTCTTTCTTTCTTTCTTTCTTTCTTTTCTTCCTTCCTTCCTTCCTTCCTTCCTTCCTTTTTTTATTTTTATTTTATGTGTATGCGTGTATTGCCTGCATGTAGGTAAGTGTACCTGTGTCGTGCAATGCCCACAGGGGACAGAAGAGGCTGTCAGATCCCCTAGAACTGGAGTTACGGACAGTTGTTAGCTGCCATGTGGGTGCTGGGATTCGAACCCAGGTCTTCTGCAAGAACAGCCAGTGTTCTTAATTGCTGAGCCATCTCTCCAGCCCTTACGTGCCTTTTCTTAAGCATTTCTTGTTACGAAAGCTTACAAGTTAAGCCATATTGAATAAGTTTACAGGGCAAAGCTTCTTCTAAGAAAGTATACTGTTATGTGTTTCTAAAAACTACATTCACAATCGACCTTACAAAAACTTTCCTTAGTGGCTGAAACTAGAAAATTTAGCTGCTGTAGTCTACTATTCAGAGCAACTGAACGAATCAAACAATGTACTTCACAGAATGAAATTCTCCCAGTTTTCTACCAGGTTTTGCTAGCTACAAAAAATTGAAGGACAAACCTTCCAGCTTAGACACTCTGAGAAGAAAACAGGTAACAATGAAAATGAAAAGTATGGCAGGTTAAGTGCAGCATCAATATTCAAGAGAAAATGTGAATAAATGTAACTGCTATAACCCTAAATGTCCAAAACAAGGCACCATGGAAGGGAAGCAACACTAGTACTTCCCACACGCAAAGCCACCAACACTAACATAAACTACAGTTAGAACGCAGGGAAAGATAAAAACTGGCTCTGCCCTAAAATGACCATATCCTTGAAAAGACTTTTTACAAAGTTTAGCAATAAAACTAGCTTGGCTCTCTGCCATAACTAAGAACCCAGGGGGCAAGGCAAGGTGACACATCACAGAATTAGGGCCGGTCAGCCATGCGCTATTCCTTCTCTTTTTTCACACAAAGCAGGTGCTACATACGGTAATAGTTTAAAACTGTTCTGTTTACTTGTGTGGATTACAATATTTATGTTACACAACTCAACTACGCAAAGAAAACACTCAAAACAGCAGTCTTGCTCACTTCATTATTGTTTGAAGCTCCAAGTCCAAGGTGGTTATTTTTAACTTGAACTTTAATATGTTCTGTGGCTCCTTGCTCCTGAGCCCCCAAACCCTGTGGAGATCAAACACAAAGAGATTAAACATAGTTCTATCAAGTACAAAGGGAGATTTCCTCTTTCTTCCTTTGCCAAATGTTCAAAAAGGACGCAGCCTAGTGGGCTCTTGGAGGACCACATCTGTAGCAGCAAGGAAGCATTCACGGCCCATGGAGTCACTAACTAAAGCACCACACCTCCTGAGCATGCTCTGGAGCAAAGCACTGCCATGAAACCAGCAAAAGCACCCTTGGCAACATAAAACGCTGAAGCTTCAGTATGGTTCCACGTGTAACAAATTAAAAGGTGATGCTGAGTTGGAGAGATGGCTCCGTAGTTAAGAGCACTGGCTGCCCTTGCAGTGGACCCAGATTTGATTCTCAGCACCCACACGGCAGCTAACAATTGTTGGTAACTCCAGTTCCAGGGGAATTTGGCACCCTCTTCTGATCTCCACCGGCACTGCATGATATGGGTGCACTTACACACATGCAGGCAATACACTCACAGACATGAACTAATAACAAATACATAAATAATATAATAAATAAATAATAAAATAAGAGGTGATGTCTAAGAAAGACTAATTGCAGCAGCTTAGCTGATAAACCAGAAGGGCTGGTGTTTATGCTTGGTTCTAATATTACTATCACTGCTCTAGACTCTAAGAAGAAGGGTGTCTTCTCCTGATTTATAATTTCTTGGCACGGCTCAGAGACTTTTAGTTTCTGTTTAAAATACCTTTCCTTTAGACCACCCCATCTTCTCTAGCATCCTCTGGCCAAACTTGGAATCATCATTACTCCATGCAGTGTTTCTTGGATCCACAGCCCATTTCTGCTTCCGCCGACCTGCAAATGAAAATATATCTCATCAGCAACTTGCCCTTCACACCTGGGAAAGCACACACACTAAGCACATACTTATGCACATTTTCAATGCACAGTGGAACATTAATAGGATGGTTTCTCCTGGTTTTCCTAATAACCACATATTCTTAACATATAAACTGACCTTATAAGATTAAAACTAAAATGTTCCCCCTAAAACAGACAAAAGAAAACAAATACTTAATTTAGCACCATTTGGCCTTTCCATATCCAGTCACTGGCAGCACCAAGGGCCCTGTGGAGGCCACCCGTCATAGTCAACATCAGCATAGCAGCAGGCACACTTGTCACAACGCTCATTGCTGCAGGTTATAGGACAAATGCTACACATACATGAGCTCCAACTCTCTCTACCTTTCAGATGGGAAAATCTGAGTTCTCAGAGAACATTGTCCCCCAGTAAAACCCAAATCCTTTATACAAGCCAGAGTCCTACCAATTTGAGGAAGGGGTAAAACAGAGGCTCCAGCTGGCCTTGAACTTGCTATGTAGCTGAGGATAACCTTGAGCTTCTGATCCTCCTAACTCTACCTCCCAAGAATTGGAATTATAGGCATAGTCCACCACACCCAGCTCAAAACTTACATTTTTAATACACAATATATGTCATTATAACCTTAGGGAGAGTAAATTGTTTTATGCTTCCACACTCAGATAGTTCACCTACCTTCCTTCCTTCCTTCCTTCTCACTAAATGCCATAATTTATTCACTGAACTTTCAAATAATCTTTGACACTTAACATCCTACTGCACTGTGGCATTCAGACCCATCTTTCATCTCTTCTTACTCTATAATCTCCTTAAGGGTTATATTCTTTTCTTCTTTCTTATGCTTCATTGCAAGAAGTGTTGCCTACAGCTGGCACCTAATAAACATGTCAACAAACATGAAGGAATGAGAACGAAGGGGAAAACAGCAAAGGGGAAAAGGAAAGGAGAGAGAGGGAGGTTTGAATTAAGGGATCTACCCACTTCAGGTCTCATCAAAGTATCTTTCTGAAATATACATAAGCAATTGACCACTAAGAACTAAGTTCATCACTGTAGTTTTGTTTTGTGTTTGTCTACTTGTTTATTTGAGGCAGGGTCTAGCTCTGTACCCTAGGCTGGCCTTGAATTAGTGACAATCCTCTGTCCTTAGCTCCTCAAGTGCTGGGATTACAGGCCAAGTCACCACATCCAGCTTCACTATTAGAGTTTTGGTTTCTTTCTTTCTTAGTTTTTTTGAGACCGGTTCTCCCTGTAGCCCCAGCTGTCCTGGAATTCACTATGTAGACCAGGCTGGCCTGGAACGCACAGAGATTCACCTGCCTCTGCCTCCCGAGTGCAGGGATTAAAGGCGTGCGCTACCATGCCCAGCCACTATTAGTGTTTTGAGAAAAACTATGGCAGAGAAAGACTCTGTAAGGCTGGCAGAACAAGAACCTGAGATCAAGTGGAATGTGGAGGTTGAGTGACCTTACTGCTCAGCTACTTCAACAATCTAAGCACACTATCACTCCACCTCCAATCTCTGCAGTCTCACATCCCAACTAAAAAATAACTTCAAGTCAAAAGGGCTCACTGTGCTGCACGTAGAATCAATAAGGATCCTTACCAATACACATCCTAGCAAAAATAAGAAGTCTTTTATAAAGATGCACACAGAAAAAGGCCACCACAGGGCAAAATGAGTTGTACTTAAATTTGCAGTGTTCTGCAGAGGAAAAAAACCTGATCCAAAGACTTGTTCCACCTGTGTCAGTGGCCACTTTACTTAACCTGGTAAATGTGCAGCACAACACCGGCTCTGTAATGAACACAGCAGAGAAAAGGCTTACAAACCAGCATTCTGTATGTGCGGTGGTCACTTTTGTGTCAAATCTGTGTATCTAGAGTGCATGCTAGGGGTCTCTGACCAAGGCCTTTGTGCTGGGCAGTTTTTGCCAACTTGACACAAACTAAGAGTCACCTGGAAAGGAACCTCAATTGAGGAATTCTCTCCATCAGATTGGCCTGTGGCCGTTTCTGTGAGGCATTTTCTTAACTGCTAATTGATATAGGAGACCTAGCCCAGTGTGGGTGGCACCACCCCTCAGCCAGTAGGCCTGGGCTGTGAAAGAAAAGTAGCTGAGTCAACCAGGGGGTCAAGCCAGCAAGCAGTGTTCTTCCACAGTCTGCTTCAGTTCTGGCTTCCAGATTCCTGCCTAAGTTCCTGCCTTGGATTCTAACTTGATGATGGACTGGGACATGTAAGCCAAATAACTTTCCTCCCAAAGTTGCTTTTGGTCAGTGTTTATCACAGCAACATAAATCAAACTAGAATAGCTTGTTAGGAGTCCACCCTTCCCGGAAGAAATGCATCCCTGTCCCTGGTTTACATAAAATGGACTGCCATGCTACATAAGGGACTGGCTACCAGAGCCAGTTACTCTTCCCCCAGAATGGCAGGTATTGGCAAAGAAGGGGGTTAAATAGCGTTTCCCAACTGAAGGTGTGGGGGAATCCCAATTAAAAATTTAAAAAGCAACACTGGATTAAACAAAACTGAACACCAAAGAACTTTCCAGATCCTTTAATATGCAAATGTACAGATCTTAGAAGAGGGCAGAGCAAGCATGTCCTGTGCTCTAAACTTATGACCAGAACCCTATTTCTCTGTAACAACTCCTTGTTCTCATGTTGTACAAGTTCCTAGGTTTGGGAACTCGTGGCAAGAAAAAGTGCCTCTAGTCGCAGTAGCACTGTAGGGAAGGGATGGAACCTTGAAGAGGTGGGGCCCGGAGGAAAGAAGTCAGGTCCCTGGGAGTGGACCAGAGGATCCAGGAACTCCATTTGTGTCGGTGTCATTTTAAATGTTATCTTGCAACACATGCTGACAGTAAGTCACCTAGGTTCTCTTTGCTTCTTGGTCACAATGAGGTGATCAGCTTTGCTCCACCACATACCCCAGCTCACGTTTTACCTCACCTTGTGCTCAAAAGCAAGAGTCAAGCAATCATGGACAAAAACCCCAAGCCCAAATAAAGCTTTCCTCTTTGGTTATTCTGCCACAGCAATGGAAATCTAACATATGTTCTTTGTTACTCTTGGGCCCCAGTCTGTTCTGTGCTCAGATGTCAGTCCTGCTAATACCCTATGCAGTAAAAACTAACAGCAAGTCAGATTGCTACCCTTTGGAGGGCTCGTTGAAGTTGACCTTTGGTGGAGAATATGGATTCAAGAGGGTTCCCACCATTGACAGAACTTATAAGAATGATCACTGTGTAACTGTTTATGCAAATGATGTGTCTTATGCAGAATACCAGCTATTCTTCTGGGTCTTCCTTGGTGGAGGAATTACATACATGTGTGACTCCACTAGGACCGAACTCTGGAAGTCTGCATGTTTAACCCTGGACTCTGCCATGTGTCTTTTGTTTTTATTTACTCTGCTCTACATGTTACCTGTGACAGATCTTAATCTTATGGCTGCACCCTGAGTCCTGTGCCTGAAGCCCAGAAGATCACTGAATTTGAGGGTAGGAGACAGTGTTGAGCCTCAGGTAGGGTGGCCTGAAACTGTTGAATCACTTATTTGGGAAGATCTGCTCAATCACCCTTGGGACTCCTCCTATTTGAAGACCTAACTGTAAATAGTTCTACCAGGATGTTTGGGATACCCTCAATAAACATTCCTTCATATGACAGCTACAAGGGACTTTACTTGACAACCACTCCACGCCTGACAATACACTGCTTATGTGTGTTGTCAGACTAAAGCTTACTCTGAAGGGTATGTTGAGTCCCAACAACCAGCATTAAAAGCTTTGCCTTTTTAATGTTTCCACAGATTCAGATACCCAAGAGCTCAAAATGTATGAACCACATATCCTCATTAAAAAAAATTCCAAGCCAAGCAACTAGGAGGTAGAGGTAGGAAAATCAAGAGTTCAGGGTCAGCCTTGACTACATATTGAGTTTGAGACCAGCCTAGGCCTCAAACTGAAAAACAAGCAAGCAAATAAATGAATAAATGCAAGACATACTCAAGATTGAAAAACTTGGAATGTACAATTTTATGTTTTGACAATTGGAATGTAAAACTGTGTGTTATATAGTGCTGTGATTTTATACATTTTTCTTACAGTCCCAAAGGGGTAAGAGTCCGTCATGGTTGGGAAGCAGGTGGCTGAGGAGGCTGGAGCAGAAAGTCAAGTGCTCACATCTCCAAGAAAGCATAGGAAGCAGAGGGTCACTTGAAATCTGGCAAAAACTGGCTTAAAACCTCTGGCTTAAAAACTCTCCAAAGCCTGTCCCAGTGACATATTTCCTCTACTATGGTCACACCTCCTAAAGATTCCCAAAACAGTGCCATCAACTAGGGACAAAATGTCCAAATACTTGGAGCCTGTGGGAGACCTTCTCATTCAAACCACCACAGAGAGTGGTAAATAAAAGTCCAATCTTCCATAGTATATAATATTACATAGTATATAATATACTATATTACAAAGTATGTTCATATACACTAGATTTCTTCTCTTAAGTGGAGGCTCAAGAAGATGGTGTCTGGAGAGAAACACAAACTATGCAGTGTTTTTAAGAAATAAAAAGAGGGGCTGGAGAGATGGCTCAGTGGTTAAGAGCACTTGCAGAGGACCCAGGTTCAAGTCCCAGTACCCACATGGCTGGTGACAACCATCCATACCTCCAGTTTCAGGGGAATCCAACTCTCTCTTCTGACCTCCAGGGGCATTGCATGACCCCGGCACACTTAACACACATGCAGACCATACACTCATACACATAAAATAAAAATAATAAAACACTTTTAGAATATAGAATGGATGCCTGTGCTGATGGTGAAAGGATAAAATAAAATGGCAAGCAGACATGAAGGAAACCATGTTCTCTGAATGCCTAAGACAAAGTGAACTTCCAGGAAAGTGATGGGCCAGCTGTTCTGCATGACTGTCTCCAGGTGGCAAGAATCCTTAGCTACCAGGCTCCTGGGGAAGTAGAGGGCAAACAGCGGCAGAGGCTGGAGTAACTTCTAACCTGGCCCACCCGGCTCTTCTAGCGTTCACCAGCCTGCACTGCCCCCGGACTAGCTTCCAGCTGGTCGAGGCTTTGGATCCCTTTGCCTTTCTGGGTCCAATACAGCTGCAGTTCCGGGTCTGAAGGCTCCCGCCTGCCTGTCTTCTTTGAGCCGGGGAAGAGCAGGCCCTGGCCAGGGTGGCTCCGACGGCCGGCGCAGGGCAGTCTGAGCCCGGAGCCCTGTCCGGATAGGAGTAGGAGGAACAGTATGCGAGACCTGAGGACGCCTGGCAGTCTCCGCCGCCCTGACCTCGGCGCGGACACTAGGCGTCCCATCACCCGCCGTCCCGTCGCCCCATCGTCCATCACCCGTCACCCGTCGTCCCATCACCCGTCACCCGACGTCCCATCACCCGTCATCCGTCGTCCCGTGACCCGGCGTCCCATCACCCGTCGTCCCGTCACCCTCTCACCCCCTCACCCCCGCGTCCCGCCACCCCGACACTCACGCTCGGCCAGCATCGACATGCCGCCGGCTCCCTGTGTCTACCAAGGGCAGGTGGTCAGGAAAAAGCTGGAATTCCGAGGGAGGACTTCGCATGCGGGGCAGGAGAATGAGACTGGGGCGCGGGATGATGACGTCACCACGCGCGACTCACTCCCGACCACGTGGCGGCAGGGGGCGGAGAGACAAATTCATTCTAGAAGCTACGGGAGCCTGGTGGGTTTCAGTCCGCGCTCTGCTCGCCGCAGACGGCTTGCGGACAAGCCTAGGGCCTGTGCTCTGCGAGCCTCCCGGACCTTTAAGAGCTGGGGCAGCTCGGCTGGCGGGGGCGGGCCTGGCACTGGGGGAGCCGGCTCCCTTCGCCACACACTACCCCTGCCCTCCGAGGGAAGGTGTGACACGGACTGCGGGCCTAACCCCGCTAAGCTCAGTTCCACTGATCTGGAGGCCACACTCGGCACTCGCTGAATGTAGACGCTGGCTGCCTCCCTCCTGGTGCTGCCCTTTCTCCTCCAGACGTGTGACCTCAGCCTTCGCCTAAGCTGTTAATTAGTTGCTCTCCTTAGAGCCTCACGCCCTTCAGGTGCCCTTCCTTGTCCAAGTTCCAGCTACTCCGTTTGCGGATGCCTCCCAGGAGTTTCTGATCAGGACCTTAGCTTTATTTCACATCATGTGTGGTTGTGCAGCCCGGTCTTCAGCACTGGCCGGTGCTTCCTTCTCAGGGGCTCTGCTTCCTAATTTTTTTCTTCTTAGGAAGGGCACATCCACTCTTAATCAGACCCAGCAAGACTCCATGTAAACCTCACTGCAGGTAGTGTAGTCTTTTTTCTTGAAGCAGTGTGTCTGATGGCTGTGGTGGGGGAAAAACTCACCTCTCGGGGTGGTCCAACAGCCTTGAGAATCCTGCCGGACTCTGCCATCCACTTACCACCTCCCTCCCTCCCTGTAAGATAGGGAGGTTGACAGCACCCAGCCAAGCAGGACCATGTGCTTGACCATGAATTACAAACAACAAAGAGGGCAGACATCACGGTTGTGACTAGGAGGCTGAATCTGACCAACTTACCTTCCCCCTCCCCTCCTCCCAGAACACCTGGGCTATGACCCAAATCTTTTCCATCTTTCCTTTTCTCTGGGCCAGGGTTTCTGGTCTGTATCACCAAGCTGAGGTGAATGGTGGGCTTCGAAGCAGGAGGGCACATGGGGGCATTTTCTTAGCATGCAGTGAGGAGGCAGGCTTTGATGTGATCTCCCTAGAGGCTCATTGAAGTACAAGGAGGATCAACCTGTGGGTGGCGTGCTCAGTGAGTGTTCTTGAATCACAGCATCAGTTGCCTTGGGAAGACTTTGTCCTTCATTTGAAAACATCCTTGGGAAGCTGTCGGCTATTGGCCATTAGTGTCTGTTTATGGAGAATTTGGGAGCAAGTTTGGGGAGGACAGAAAAGAAAGTATGCCATCAACACAGGTCTGGAATCTTAAGGGGCCTCAAGCAACACAGACTTGCTTTTATCATGATTTTGCCTGGAGCAGAAGCTAGCCTTGGCAATAAAAATTAAGCTAATAAATAATCATTGAGGAAATAAGAGACAATTGAAAACGATCCTAAGATCTGTGAATTTTGCCATGTCCTATGTAAAAATATTCTGTGGTTGAAAAAACAAAGCTCCTGCTCTCAGCTGACTCCTCATCGATTCTCAAGTAAGAAAGCATGTCAGCATGTTTTATTTCTGTCTTACACACTCAGTTTTTCATTGTTAATGTTAGTGATTGGAGCCCATCCATCTGTGGCCTCAACTTGACTGAGCAAGAGGTTGCTCCCTGTAACCAATCATGGCATGGCACGATGATCCCAGGAAGAAAGACCTTGCTGGGTGGATTTTCTGGATTAAGGCAAGTTTTTAAATATCAAAGGTAAAAGGTAAAGATATCACACTTCAAGTCAGAGAAAGATAGGGGAAAGAGGAGAGAGGGAGAGAAGGGGAAGAGAGGGAGAGAGGCGGAGAGGGAGGGGGGAAAGGAGAGAGGGAGCATGAGCGGGAACAGGAAATGGCCCAATTTCTGCTTGTCTTGGCTTCAGAAGTGTGCCCAAATGTGCCTCTGGGTACTTAATTATGTGGCATAACCAGGGCTGCTAGATAGAATGCTGGGACCTTCTGGGTATGTGGGAGTGGTGGTGTGTATGGCAAGTAGTTCATCCAGTTAGCTACAGAGATTGCTGACAATAGTCCCTCTCACAACCCCAACTGCCAGGGACAAGGAAATTTAAACTTCTCTTTCTACCTCACAGAGAACAGGCTTGCTGTCATGGTATTAACTCATGTACTGAAACCATCACCCCCAAGAAGAGAGCTTTGGGAGGGAGGGCCTTTGAGAGGTGTATGGTCCTGAGGGTTGTGCCTCAAGATGGGATTAGTGCCAGGAGCTTTCTTTCTCTGCTCCACTTGTGAGGGTGCAGTTATAGGACAGCATCTGGAACCAGGAGCAGCCCTCACCAGGAATCCAATCTGGTAGGCCATTCAACCTGGGACTCAGCCGTCAGAACTGAGGAATATAGTTGTTATTTATAAGCCGCTCAGGGTAAGTATTTTGTTAAAGCAGCTCAAATGGACTGAGATGGGCAAAAGTACACATGGATACAGAGTAAGAATCTTACATTTTAGACCCATATCCCCTAAGAGCAACAACCCAGGAACGGGTCTTCTTTCATTCCTTTGATGAAAACATTTAGGGCAATTGAAGCACTTATTGTAAGAGGGGTTTAGTTTAAGAACATCAGTAAGATCCCTCCATCCCCCAGAATCCCCTCTTTAGGCAGCTGAAAGCTCTGTAAGCTAAACATTGCCCATCAGTTTAATAGGAATTTTGGAAAAGAGATTTGGGAATGAGTGAACCAGAGGGATTTCCTTTTTTCCCTGATACACATATCCCCAGATTTTTCCCTTCATAGGACAGATATTTATATTATTGGCAACTAATTAATTTCTAAAGTACTGGCTTGAACGTCGAAGCGTCTAGTTATTGGTGCCCTGGATCAGGGTCATGTGTTCTTAAAAGAAAAGAATAAAGGTGTGTCGGGGAGTAGAGATTCCAAAAGCAAAGGCAGGTTTTCTCCACTGTGTTCCTCCTGGTAAAGACAGAGGGGTGTGGAGAGGCAAATAAAAAAGTTGTAAGTGTGGGTCTAGAGAGATGTCTCAGTGGCTAAGAGTGCATACTGCTCTTCCAGAGGACACAGGTTCAGTTCTCAGTGCCCATACCAGGTGGTTCACAACTCTGGCTCCAGGGGATCCAGTGCCCTCTTTTGGCTCCATGGGTACTACACTAAGTGTACATACCCACACATAGGCAGGCATGCAGACATATAATTAAAAATAATAAAAGAGTCAGGTATGATGATGAACACCTTTATTCTCAGTACTTGGGAGACAGAGGCAGGTGGATCTCTGTGAGATAGAGGCTAGCCTGGTGTATATAGCAAGTTCCAGGACAGGTAGGCTACAACAAGAACCTGTCTGAATAATAATAAGGGATAACAGGACATCAAGTGACATGGACCAAATGCTGAGACCATATGACTTTCCTCAGAGTCCTGGACTCTGCCATCTGATAAAAGCTCTTTTTTTGTGTGTCTCTCTGTCTCTCTTGCTCCCTCTTCCACTCCTCAAAGGAGTCTCACCTTGGGGGAACGTTGTCCTAAGGAGGACACCCTGACAATAATGTGAATTCCTTTCAAGTCATGTTCTTCCCCTTACTTCCTTCCTCAACTGAATAGTTTGAAAATGGACCATGTCCACACATGCAAGGGAAAGGAAAGAATCATGTCCATGCTCATCACCACAACCCATTTGCTACACATGCTTTTTTTGTTGTTGTTTTTTGAGACAGGGTCTTCCTGTAGCCCCAGGTGGCCTGGAAGTTGCTTTGTACTGGCTTGAACCTTAAAGAGTCTAGTTATTGGTCCCCTGGATGAGGGTCACATGTACACCAGGCTGGCCTTGAACTCACAGAGATCTGCCTACCTCTGCCTCTGCCTCCCGAGTGCTGGGACTAAAGGTGTGCACCACCACACTCATCACATGCTTTTAAAATTGTTGAAGCCATATGGATGCAGTTCCATTTGACCCTTCTCTCCCCCTCTTCCTTGCTCACCCCGTCCCCACCTTCAATCTACCTTCCAGCAAAGTCTCCAAAATGAGTATAGTTGTGTCCCGTCCTGTGTTTCCTCTAACATCACAATAAGATACCAGCCCAGGACTGGGGAGATGCCCAGAGGGCAAAGCACTTGCCATGGGAGGACCTGAGTTCAGATCTCCAGATCCCACATAAAAAAGCTGGGTGTGGTTACACATCTGTGAAATCCCACTTGTGGCAAGCTGGGAGGCTCAGGTGGCCAGATTCCTGAAGTTTGCTTAATCACTGCTTCTTACCACTTCCTTAGCCTCCTTGATGAGATGGTAAGACAGTGAGTGGACCTGTCTCAAACAGAGGGTGGAAAGCCCCTGAGGAACAATAATTGAGGTTGTAACCCAAGGAACACCACCCAAGGTTGTACACACACACACACACACACACACACACACACACACACTAAAAAGGGAGAGAGGAAAGAAAGAAGGCAGAGAAGTGTCCTAATGGAACAGTAAGAGCTGTTTTTGCTGGATGTCCCAGGGGTTGTTTGAAGGCATTTTGCTCCTAGGACTTGTCTTCAGGATTTCAAATGTTCTAACACCAGAGAGGAAAAGTTCATATCCAGAAAATACAATCCAGAACTTTTTAGTTTCTTCTCATCCTCAGACCCCCAGTTTTTTTAAAAAAAATATTTTATGTGTTATTTTATGTGTATGAGTGTATTGCTTGCATGTATGTAAGTGCACCTGTGTCATGCAATGCCTGTGGTAGTCAGAAGAGTGTAGGATTCCCCTTGAACTGGAGTTACAGATGGCTGTTAGCCACCATGTAAGTGCTGGGAATTGAACTCAGGTCCTCTGCAACAACAGCCAGTACTCTTAGCCGATGGGCCATCTCTCCAGCCCCCTAGATCCCCATTTTTTAGCCCCAGGATTTCCTCTACAGCTTCTTCTCAGCTTCTTTTGATTTCTCTGGCCTGGCCCCTTTCCCAGCCTTCCACC